CCAGTCTATGGAACCTATGCCGATAGCTTGAAGTTTCTTGCATAATATGTTGTGGTTGACAGTATTGAAGGCCCTTTGCAAGTCTAAGGTTACCATTCCTATGAGATTCCCTATTGACATTTCAGTTCTCATATAATCCATCAGATTAATTAGGGAGGTGTTGGTTGAGTAAGATCTCCTAAAGCCTGTTTGGTAACTATGAAGAATGTTGTTGTCATTTAGATACTTAACTACTTGACAGTACAATGCCCTCTCTAGAATTTTGGATATTACACCGAGTATACTAATAGGCCTATAGTTGCTGACATCAGACCTTCTATTTTTCTTGAAGATAGGAATAACTCTGGCCTTCTTGAACCCCTCCGGTACAGGATCAGTGGTGATGAACAAATTTATTATGTGAGCAATGAACACAAGAACATAAGAAAGAAGGAACACTGCAACAGACCTACTAGCCTATGTGAGGCAGATCCAATTCCCCCACCGGCTTAAGCCAATGCCTTGACCTAGTGAGGTCAGACACGTCACTCAAGGGAGGAGCATGGCATCTGACCTAGTAGCACAAGCTAGTCAGGTCCAACTCACACCCACCTACACCCACTCATGTATTTATCCAACCTATTTTTAAAACTACACAATGTCTTAGCTTCTATGATGGTACTCGGAGTTTGTTCCATTCATCCACAACTCTATTACCAAACCAGTGCTTTCCTATATCCTTCCTGAATATGAATTTTTCCAATTTAAAGCCATTGCTGCAAGTCTTGTCTAGGCTAGATATTTTTAGTACGCTATTTACATCCCCTTTATTAATTCCTGTTTTCCATTTATACACCTCAATCGTATCCCCCCCTAATTCTACGCCATTCTAGAGAGTGCAGATTCAGGGCCCTCAGTCTATCCCCATAAGGAAGATTTCTGATACATGGGATCAACTTTATCATCCTCCTTTGTATGTTTTCCAGTGCATTTTTATCCATTCTGTAATACTGTGACCAAAACTGTGCAGCATAATCTAAATGAAGCCTAACCAAAGATATACATGTATAGAGTTAAACCATACCCCGGCCGGGATTGAACCCGCGGTCAGAGAGAGTCAAAACTCCAGCCCGTCGCGTTAGCCACTAGACCAGCTAGCCACAATAAGATTCGCCCAACTAGGTATATTTCTACACCATAGGAAGGTTAGCACAGGCACCACTGTGACCACAAATGCAAGTTTTTACAGACGAATCTCCAGCTAGCATGGCCGTGACGAACTCTAGCTCAAGTCCCTTCACTGCCGTCAACATGACTCACGAAATCGTAATGACACGATTGCAAACAAACCATACTTGCATTTGTGGTCACAGTGGTGCCTGTGCTAACCTTCCTATGGTGTAGAAATATACCTAGTTGGACGAATCTTATTGTGGCTAGCTGGTCTAGTGGCTAACGCGACGGGCTGGAGTTTTGAGACTCTATGACCGCGGGTTCAATCCCGGCCGGGGTATGGTTTGTTTACAATCGTGTCATTACGATTTTGTGAGTCATATATAGAGATGTTCTTCAACTCTATACAGTGGACCCTCGACTAACGCTATTAATCCGTTCCTGAGAGCTCATCGTTAGTCAAAATAATCGTTAGTCAAGTTAATTTTCCCCATAAGAAATAATGGAAATCAAATTAATCCGTGCAAGACACCCAAAAGTATTGAAAAAAAAAATTTTAACACATGAAATATTAATTTTAATACACACAAACTGAAGAAGACATGCACAGTTACATGACACTTACCTTTATTGAAGATCTGATGATGATTGATGGGATGGGAAGAGGGGAGTGTGTTGATGGTCTTAGTGTTTAGAAGGGGAATCCCCTTCCATTAGGACTTGAGGTGGCAAGTCCTTTTTCGGGGTTTACTTCCCTTCTTTTAATCCCTAGGACCAGCTTGAGAGTCACTGGACCTCTGTCGCACAACATATCTGCCCATAGAGGCCTGTACCTTCCGTTCCTTTATGACATTCCTAACGTGTTTCACAACATTGTCAGTGTCACCATTAAACACTTGTTCAGGTTTCAGTCCTTCACTGTCTATGTACTCCTTGAATTCCTGCACATATTTTTCAGCTGCTTTTTGGTCCAAACTGGCAGCCTCACCATGCCTTATCACACTATGTATGCCACTACGATTCTTAAATCTCTCAAACCAACCTTTGCTGGCCTTAAATTCACTCACATCACCACTAGTTGCTGGCATTTTTCTAATTAAATCGTCATGCAACTTCCTAGCCTTTTCACATATGATCGCTTGAGAGATGCTATCTCCTGCTATCTGTTTTTCGTTTATCCATACCAATAACAGTCTCTCAACATCTTCTATCACTTGCGATCTCAGTTTCGAAAACATAGTTGCACCTTTGGCAAGAACAGCTTCCTTGATTGCCGTTTTCTTGGCTACAATAGTAGTGATGGTTGATTGGGGTTTTGTGTACAGCCTGGCCAGCTCGGAGACATGCACTCCACTTTCATACTTAGCAATGATCTCTTTCTTCATATCCATAGTAATTCTCACCCTTTTTGCTGTAGGGTTGGCACTAGAAGCTTTCTTGGGGCCCATGGTGACTTATTTTGCAGGTGCAATCACTAAAAAGGCTGTGATAATATGAAATGTTCCGATTGTATGCTTGGAAGCGACCGCGGTGGCTGGCTGGCTTGTAAAACACTGGCCAGAAGTGGACGCGTCTCAGACGGAAGGAATAGTGTTGGTCGAGTTTTTTAGCGCTAATCGAGGCAAAAATTTTGTGATAAAATGTATCGCTAGTCAGATTTATCGTTAATCGATGCCATCGCTGGTCAAGGGTCCACTGTATATCTTTGGTGAGGACTTCTATTATTTATACTTCTTACTATGAAGCCAAGGATTCTGTTAGCTTTATTGCAAACACTTATGCATTGTTGTCTTGGTTTCAGATTACTGCTAACCAGAACTCTTAAATCCTTTTTGCAATCTGTAATATTAAGATCTACATTATATTTAATTTATATGTGGCATGGTTATTTTCCTGTCCAACATTTAGAACTTTGCATTTGTCTATATTAAACTGCATCGGCCACTTCTCCGACCACTGCATCAGTCTATTCAAATCCTGGAGTGCTCTAATGTCCTTGTTAGAATGAATTGGACGGCCTATTTTGGTGTCGTCAACAAATTTGCTCATGTCGTTATTTATTCCCTCATCTATGTCATTTATGTAGATTGTGTACAATAAAGGGCCCAACACCGACCCCTGTCTTGTTTACTCAATAGCCTCTGATGTGGAACTCTATCGAAAGCCTTACTGAAGTCCATATACACAATATTATATTCAGTACCATGATCTACCTCCTCAAATATCTTAGTGAAGAAAGTCAGTAAATTCGTAAGACAGGAACGCCCCTTTGTAAAACTGTGCTGAGATTCATTAGTCAATTTATGCCTTTCAAGATGGCTACAAATTGCTTCAGCAATTATTGATTCCATAAATTTTCCCACTATGAAGGTAAGGCTTATTGGTCTATAGTTTGAAGCTAAGGACCTGTCACCTGCCTTATAAATAGGTATTACATTTGCCATTTTCCAGTACAAGGCACTATGCAATTCAGAGGCACTATCTTTTAGGAACTTAGATGGGATGTTATGTGGGGCAGTGCTCTTAGTTGGGTTTAACTTGCTTAATTCTTTTTGCATGAAGTCATGAGATACACTTACTAGTTGACAACTGTTTGAGGTTACCCCTTTATTGTAATTTGTTTTAAACTTATCAGTGTCTGTGTTAAAGGTATTTGATGTAGCTGGTAGTTTACTTACTAGTGTTGATGCGACACGACAGTTGTGTAATATGAATTAAAACAATTTGCCACTTTAGTTGTTTTGTGGCATACCTCGTTATCAATATTTAATACTATGCTAGATCTATCTATTGGTTTATGGCAATAATCCAGTTGTATTAGTTGTTGACAAAGCTTTCTAGGGTTATTCTTGTACTCTTTGATTTTTGAGCAATAGTGCCTTGCCTTTGCTCCCCTTACAATCCTCTGCACTCTGTTCCACACCCTTTGGAATTCATTTAGCACTGCAATATCCTGTCTGTTTGCCTTAAATCTTTTTAGTAACTGGTCTCTGAATTTCATATTATCTAATATCTCGGTAGTCATCCAGGGTTTGGTTCTCCATTTAATCCTAACCTCTTTAATTGGTGTAATATTATCAAGGATGGCAGTGAACATTGTTTTGAATTTTTCCCAGGCATCATTTACATCTGTGCAACTTGTTATCACTGTCCACTCACAATTGTGTAGCCTATTTACCAGTGTTTCTTTACTGTAGTTTCTAGTTGAACTCATTTTTATTGTCCTGTATAGGCCTATCCATTCCCTAGTGATTTTCCTGGTGCAGTAAATGACAAAATGATCACTAAGGTCTGTGGTAATGACGCCTGACTGACTCTTGCAAATACAAAACATTTCATATACGTATTAACATATAAAAAAATAGAATATAGAAAGGAGCAATACCCTGGTGAGGAACTTTTCTGCATATCACACAAGCCAGCTAGTATCTAGTTTCTCAGTACTGAATTTCATTCACCTACATTTTTAATTTGATTTCCTAGTACACCTTACCAATTTACCGAGTATATTAAAGTTTACAAAACATAGGAAAATGGAGGGAAATCTGTTAAGGTATACTATGAATTTTATTATTTGTTTAAACAAACCATGAAGATATTTCAGTGCATTATTCTACAATTGTTAAATACTGGAAAATTTTATGTTGTCAGATGACTCTGTTAAAGGTCACTGATAGGAACTTTTATTATTCATTGCTGGAGGGTAAATTAACCCATTGTCTACGTGGAATTAGTGATGAGATAGTACAATATTCGAACGATCCTATACACATTGTGCTTTAAAACATTTTAATAGTGTACAGTATACTGTGTTTGACAGTGAATTCCCTTCCTGTCTTTTTAAACAGGCTGCAAACTGCTTCTCTTCCCAGGAGCATTCAACATGACGACTGGTCCAGTTCATTGGGAACTGCTGCAGAGAGGTCGAGCCTTAGATAATCAGGTATTGAATTCAGATAAAGGTTTCTTACGAGTTATCTTAGGAATGTTATGGTTTAGGTCAGAATTATGTATCAGTAAACTGTAGCTTTAACTATAATCCTAATTTACTGTTTATTGCCAACCATAGGTGGTACCACTGTATTTGTATTTCATTTTGAGTTATACTTGTAGTGTTGTGTCATTTAAAAAAAATTCAATGGTTATAGTGTGCACTATTTTTCATTTACAGTGGACCCTCAACCAATGGCATTAATCCGTTCTAAGGGCTTGTCATTGGTCGAAATTGCTGTTGGTCGAGTTAATTTTCCCCATAAGAAAAAATGGAAATAGAATTAATCCGTGGCTGACACCCCAAAGTCTGAATTTTTTTTTTTACATGAAATATGCATTTCCTTATATGGAAAGGAATGGGACATGCAAAATAAACAATAATTAAATGCCACTTACCTTTATTGTGGAGTTGTTGATGAGTGATGTGCCAGCAGCAGGGAAAATTCAGGATTGTCTATTGCTTGGAAGGAGAATCCCCTTCCATAAAGACTTCAGGTACCAAGTCCTTTGGTGGGGTTACCTCCCTTCTTGGTTTTTTAATGCCACTAGGACCAGCTTGAGAATCACTGGACCACTCTCTACCACCATCACAACCAGTACCACCCTCTACCACCATCACAACCAGTACCACCCTCTACCACCATCACAACCAGTACCACCCTCTACCACCATCACAACCAGTACCACCCTCTACCACCATCACAACCAGTACCACCCTCTACCACCATCACAACCAGTACCACCCTCTACCACCATCACAACCACTGCCACCCTCTACCACCATCACTACCACCCTCTAGCATCATCACTACCACCCTCTACCACCATCACAACCAGTACCACCCACTACCACCCTCTACCACCATCACTACCACCCTTTACCACCATCACTACCACCACCACTTTTGTATTTTTCTTCAAACTTTTTTTTTATTTCTATCATGTTTCCCACATCCTTTACCAAAGGGCTGGCTCTAGAAGCTTTCTTGGGGCCCATGGTGGCTTATTTAGCAGCTATAAACACTAGAAACAGTGGAATAATCCAAAATGTATGGGAGGCACATGTGGAAACTGACTGCAACAGCTTGTAAACAATGGCACACCGAGTCTTGGAGTGGCTGGGGACATGTTACGGACGAACGTCGTTGGTTAAGTTTTTTGCCGTTGGTTAAGGCATTTTTTTCGACAGCAAAAAGCGCCGTTAGACGAAATTGCCGTTACTTAATGCCGCCATTAGTTGAGGGTTGACTGTACGTATTTATTTTTAACACACTGACCTTCTCCCACCAAGGTAAGGTGATCTTCAATAGAAACAGTCACCATCACCCATTGAATAGCTGTCTGGCCAGAAGTATACAGACATCGCTATTCAAATTACTCTCAAGTGCAGTATTGCCATTCATCCTTCCAAGTGAGGGCACTGTACATCCCACCTCCAGGAATAGAGTCCAGCTAATTGATTTTCCCGAATCTTTTTATAACTGTTACCTTACATGCCAACAACACATTATGCCATAAAAAACAACTTTTAATTAATTCCAGCCATTTGTCACTATTTTGAAAAGAATTATTGTACTTTATTTTGCCTTTCCTACATTTTTAAGAGTTTAAACTTTACTACTTGTTTTTGTTGCTGGCTCTAGATTTTTTCCTGTAGGTTTTCATAGGTTTTGTCTTTTGTCTAGAGGAAATTTCTGAGGATTTTTAGTTATTGTTTGTGTGTCTAGAATAATAGTTGTAAGCCAAGGAACAACAGTGAAAAGGTGCACATGGTAAAGAACCCTTTAGGTTCTCTGCTGTGCAGTATGGCCCCAATTTGCAACATGAATGTGTGACTGAAAATTCTTTATACAGTGGACCCCCGGTTAACGATTTTAATCCGTGCAAGAGGGGTAATTGTTATGCGAAATAATCGCTATGTGAATGAATTTTCCCCATAAGAAATAATGGAAATCAAATTAATCCGTGCAAGACACCCAAAAGTATGAAAAAAAAAATTTTACCACATGAAATATACATTTTCCCACACACAAAGAGAAGGATACATGCACAATAGTAGAGTAGTACATGCACAGTATATATTGTGCATGTACTAGTCTACTAAATGAAGAATAAATGACACTTACCTTTATTGAAGATGCAGCAATGACTGATGAGGACACTGTGTCCTGGGAGTGCCTTTTCCTCCTGAGTACTGTAGGTCCTGTTTGGCATTTTCTTCCAGAACAGGCCTTATCACACTGTGTATGCCACTACGATTCTTAAATCTCTCAAACCAACCTTTGCTGGCTTTAAATTCACCAATATGAGCACTAGTTCCAGGCATTTTTTCCTGTTCACCTGGGTGTTAGTCGACTTGTGTGGGTTGCATCCTGGGAGACAAGATTAAGGACCCCAATGGAAATAAGTTAGACAGTCTTCGATGACACTGACTTTTTTGGGTTATCCTGGGTGGCAAATCCTCTGGGGTTAATTGTTTCTTGGTATTCTCAATAAGCCACACCAACAACGGTGCTACAGCAGCAGCAGCAGCTGACAGTGCAGCAGCAGCAGCTGTACCACCAATAGTAGCGATGGTTGATTGGGGTTTATTATACAACCTGGCCAGCTCGGAGACATGCACTCCACTTTCATACTTATCAATGATCTTTTTCTTCATCTCTATTGTAATTCTCACCCTTATTGCTGTAGGGTTGGCACTAGAAGCTTTCTTGGGGCCCATGGTCACTTATTTTCCAGAAAAAGCACCGAAAACACTGTAATAATACGAAATATTCCGATTGTATGCTTGGATGTTACCGCGGAGGCTGGCTGGTAAACAATGCCACCGGCGGAACATGTGAGCGTGGCTCAGGCCGCGTCTCAGACGAAAATCGGTAAGCGGGTTTTTAAGCGGTATGTGAGGCAAAATTTTTGCGATTAAAGTAAGCGGTATGCGAAATAATCGCTATGTGATGCCATCGTTATGCGGGGTTCCACTGTAAATAGTGTGTTCAATGCTTGGAACCTATTAACCCCACAGAAACTCATGTTATAATTGGAGATGTGTTACCAAGTCATAATATTCTGTATCGTAGTACTATTTCATTTATTTTTAAATAATATTTACCCATTATTTTGCATTCAGTACTGTTCCTTTTCACTTACAAATAGTATTTAAAATTGTTTAAATAATTTATACATGTTAAACAGAGCAGAGCTACAAGATAGAACACAGTACAATATATAGATGTAGGGGCAGGCAACAGCTGGATTGTCTCAGTAAGAGAAAGTTAGGATATGTAATGCAGGAAGATATGGGATGGTATGGCTTGTGGTCCCATGCCTGCCTTACTGAACAATTCCACCGGGTTACCACAGCACAGCCAAATGCCCTTAAGAAAATTGTAAATGTTAAGTTTGTGGTTATGGCCAATCTCTACCAAATAGGAGCACTTTATACAGACCTAAAATAAACATATGCTAATTATAAATGCATTTTGTAAAAACTAATCGAGAAATTATAACTGTTAAATCTACAATTCTTGATCAATCTACAAAATAAATGCATTTCTATACATGAATAAAATAAACATACACATTATAATAAGCGACTATTGGCAGAAAGGTGGGCTAGTGCAAAGATGAGTAGTGGGGGGGTTGAAGAGGGTTGGAATAGTTTTAAAAATGCAGTATTAGAATGTGGGGCAGAAGTTTGTGGTTATAGGAGGGTGGGGGCAGGAGGAAAGAGGAGTGATTGGTGGAATGATGAAGTAAAGGGTGTGATAAAAGAGAAAAAGGTAGCTTATGAGAGGTTTTTACAAAGCAGAAGTGTTATAAGAAGAGCAGAGTATATGGAGAGTAAAAGAAAGGTAAAGAGAGTGGTGAGAGAGTGCAAAAGGAGAGCAGATGATAGAGTGGGAGAGGCACTGTCAAGAAATTTTAATGAAAATAAGAAAAAAATTTGGAGCGAGTTAAACAAGTTAAGAAAGCCTAGGGAAAATATGGATTTGTCAATTAAAAACAGAGTAGGGGAGTTAGTAGATGGGGAGATGGAGGTATTAGGTAGATGGCGAGAATATTTTGAGGAACTTTTAAATGTTAAGGAAGAAACAGAGGCAGTAATCTCATGCACTGGTCAGGGAGGTATACCATCTTTTAGAAGTGAAGAAGAGCAGAATGTAAGTGTGGGGGAGGTACGTGAGGCATTACGTAAAATGAAAGGGGGTAAAGCAGCTGGAACTGATGGGATCATGACAGAAATGTTAAAAGCAGGGGGGGATATAGTGTTGGAGTGGTTGGTACTTCTGTTTAATAAATGTATGAAAAAGGGGAAGGTACCTAGGGATTGGCGGAGAGCATGTATAGTCCCTTTATATAAAGGGAAAGGGGACAAAAGAGACTGTAAAAATTATAGAGGAATAAGCTTACTGAGTATACCAGGAAAAGTGTACGGTAGGGTTATAATTGAAAGAATTAGAGGTAAGACAGAATGGAGGATTGCGGATGAGCAAGGAGGTTCAGAGTGGGTAGGGGATGTGTAGATCAAGTGTTTACATTGAAGCATATATGTGAACAGTATTTAGATAAAGGTAGGGAAGTTTTTATTGCATTTATGGATTTTAGAAAAGGCATATGATAGAGTGGATAGAGGAGCAATGTGGCACATGTTGCAAGTATATGGAATAGGTGGTAAGTTATTAAATGCTGTAAAGAGTTTTTATGAGGATAGTGAGGCTCAGGTTAGGGTGTGTAGAAGAGAGGGAGACTACTTCCCGGTAAAAGTAGGTCTTAGACAGGGATGTGTAATGTCACCATGGTTGTTTAATATATTTATAGATGGGGTTGTAAAGGAAGTAAATGCTAGGGTGTTCGGGAGAGGGGTGGGATTAAATTTTGGGGAATCAAATTCAAAATGGGAATTGACACAGCTACTTTTTGCTGATGATACTGTGCTTATGGGAGATTCTAAAGAAAAATTGCAAAGGTTAGTGGATGAGTTTGGGAATGTGTGTAAAGGTAGAAAGTTGAAAGTGAACATAGAAAAGAGTAAGGTGATGAGGGTGTCAAATGATTTAGATAAAGAAAAATTGGATATCAAATTGGGGAGGAGGAGTATGGAAGAAGTGAATGTTTTCAGATACTTGGGAGTTGACGTGTCGGCGGATGGATTTATGAAGGATGAGGTTAATCATAGAATTGATGAGGGAAAAAAGGTGAGTGGTGCGTTGAGGTATATGTGGAGTCAGAAAACGTTATCTATGGAGGCAAAGAAGGGAATGTATGAAAGTATAGTAGTACCAACACTCTTATATGGGTGTGAAGCTTGGGTGGTAAATGCAGCAGCGAGGAGACGGTTGGAGGCAGTGGAGATGTCCTGTTTAAGGGCAATGTGTGGTGTAAATATTATGCAGAAAATTCGGAGTGTGGAAATTAGGAGAAGGTGTGGAGTTAATAAAAGTATTAGTCAGAGGGCAGAAGAGGGGTTGTTGAGGTGGTTTGGTCATTTAGAGAGAATGGATCAAAGTAGAATGACATGGAAAGTATATAAATCTATAGGGGAAGGAAGGCGGGGTAGGGGTCGTCCTCGAAAGGGTTGGAGAGAGGGGGTAAAGGAGGTTTTGTGGGCAAGGGGCTTGGACTTCCAGCAAGCGTGCGTGAGCGTGTTAGATAGGAGTGAATGGAGACGAATGGTACTTGGGACCTGACGATCTGTTGGAGTGTGAGCAGGGTAATATTTAGTGAAGGGATTCAGGGAAACCGGTTATTTTTATATAGTCGGACTTGAGTCCTGGAAATGGGAAGTACAATGCCTGCACTTTAAAGGAGGGGTTTGGGATATTGGCAGTTTGGAGGGATATGTTGTGTATCTTTATACGTATATGCTTCTAAACTGTTGTATTCTGAGCACCTCTGCAAAAACAGTGATAATGTGCGAGTGTGGTGAAAGTGTTGAATGATGATGAAAGTATTTTCTTTTTGGGGATTTTCTTTTTTTTTTTTTTGGGTCACCCTGCCTCGGTGGGAAACGGCCGACTTGTTGAAAAAAAAAAAAAAAAAAAACGAAAAAAAAAAAAAAATTATAAATGCATTTGGTTAAAAGGAGAAAAAATATTTAAAATAATAGGACAGAGGAGAGGATAGGATGGTGAAGAGGGTGTAAAAATGTGGAGTGGAAGGTAAGACAAGTAGAGGTTATCCCTGGAATAGTTGGAGGGATGGAGGGGGTAAATGAGGCTTTGAGATGTAGGGGCTTGAGCAACCAGCAGGTTTGTGAGAGCATGTTACATAGGAGTGAATAGAGACAAGTGGTTTTTGACAGATGTACTGTTGGAGTGTGAGCAAGGTAACATTTATGAAGGAAGACCAGTTAGCTACTTTTAAGTCCTGGAGGTGGAAAGGGCAGTACCTACACTCTGAAGGAGGGGAGATGATGCTGTTAGAGGGTAATCTGATTTGTGATGTCAGCACACTTTTGACAAGATACAGTAGATTGTAAATAATTTCTTAGCATTTCCCCAGACATCTGTGGTATTTGAGACAACATTTTCTGAGCATAATAAGGGGCTTTCTATATAGTAGTATGTTATTGATGTCAGCTAGGCCTGTATACCTTGTACATGTACTTGTAGTAAATAAAGATATTATAATAATAATAATAATAATAATCAAAATGAAGCACTAAACCCACTAGGGTCATAAAGCGCTGCTGTATTTATTCAGTCATCTGTTTTATTGTTTAAAATCATCCGTAAGATTTTTTTTTCTCGGTAGAGCTCCTGAACTGAGGCACTGCAGTTAATTTAATCTCTTGTTTCTTGGGTCATACCTGAATATACCCACCTTTTCCCTCTTCCTATTATGATTTCTGTAGTGTAACTTATAGCTTATGATTTGGAATGAATTGCAGATATTGATTCTGGAATTTTACCAAGAAGTGTTGATTTGTTTTGATTATGGTAGGAAGAACATAAGAAAGAAGGAACACTGAAACAGGCCTATTGACCCATGCAGAGCAGGTCCATGGCCCCCCCCCCCCAGATTAGCCCAATGACCCACCCAGTCTGATCATCTCCACTCAAGGATGGAGCACTGCACCAGACCCAGCAGCACAAGCTAGTCAGGTCCAACTCACACCCACTCATGTATTAATCTAACCTGTTTTTAAAACTACACAACATTTTAGCCTGATTATTATTATAATAAAAAAGAAGCGCTAAGCCACAAGGGCTATACAGCTTTAGCCTGAATAACTGTACTCGGGAGTTTGTTCCACTCATCCACAACTCTATTACCAAATCAGTGCTTTCCTATATCCTTCCTGAATCTGAATTTTTCCAACTTGAAACCATTGCTGCGAGTCCTGTCGTGGCTGGAAATTTTCAGCATGCTATTTACATCCCCTTTATTTATTCCTGTTTTCCACTTATACACCTCGATCATATCCCCCCTAATTCTACGCCTTTCGAGAGAGTGCAGATTCAGGGCCCTCAGTCTATCCTCATAGGGAAGATTTCTGATACATGGGATCATCTTTGTCATCCTCCTCTGTACATTTTCCAGAGCATTTATATCCATTCTGTAATACGGTGACCAGAACTGAGCAGCATAGTCTAAATGAGGCCTAACCAAGGATAGAGTTGAAGAACAACCTGAGGACTTCTATTATTTATACTTCTAGATATGAAGCCAAGAATTCTGTTAGCTTTATTGCGAACACTAATGCATTGTTGTCTTGGTTTTAGATTACTGCTAACCAGAACTCCTAAATCCTTTTTGCAATCAGTAGTATTAAGATCTACATTATTTAGTTTATATGTGGCATGGTTATTTACCTGTCCAACATTTAGAACTTTGCATTTGTCAATATTAATCTGCATCTGCCACTTCTCTGACCATTGCATCAGTCTATTCAAATCATCCTGGAGTGCTCTAGTGTCCTCATTAGAATGAATTGGACAGCCTATTTTGGTGTCATCAGCAAATTTGCTTATGTCGCTATTTATTCCCTCATCTATGTCGTTTATGTAAATTGTGAACAACAGTGGCTTTCCCATACCCAGATCTCTCGATATTGTAATCTTTATATCTTCTGAATGTCCATATTAACCAGATTGGTGATTCATGGAGATATGGTCTTTGAAACACAAAATTAACCCAAATTTGAAACAAAAATAATGTTATGCAGACTAAATCTTGTATGATTTTGTGGTTTCTAATTTCATGGAACCTCTAGGATCACAGCTCCCTTTATACAAATGAATAACTTAATCATGATTTACTTGGCTTACATTTCCAGATTTATATTGGAACTATCTCCCCAGCACGTGACACATCAGCAAAGTACATAGCTTGGGGACACTCCTCAGTGGTCAACCCATGGGGAGAAGTAATTGCTACATCTGAAGAGTATGAGGCTATTATATATGGTGACGTAGGTAAGTACCGTAATAAATTTTGTATAGAATGCTGCCCTGAAAAAAGTTATTAAATTTTACTTTTTTTTTTTTTTAAACACAATGGCTGTCTGCCAATGAGGTAGGGTGACCCAAAAAAGAAGCACTTTCACTATCATTTACACTCGCTGTCTTGTAAGAGGTGCATAGATACAATAAACAGCAAATATCCTCATCCCTTCTTTAGTGTGCAGTCACTGTACCCATGTGCTTCCCACCTCCAGGACTTCCCTGAATCTTTTCAGAAAATGTTACCTTGGTCACACATGGGCAGCTCATTAGGTCCAAAAAACCATTTGCCTCCACTCTTAACTACAGTACAGAATCCTTTGTCCAAAATTCCAAAATCTGAAAGTTTGTATAATATTGACATGATGCATCACAAATAGATCACTCAGTGCAAGATGTGGTGGAGGCTTAGTCCTCCATCTGCTGAGGCTAGACAGACAAACTTTATATTTGTACCAGTGCCAGTTTGTTGTCAGCAAACAATTACCATAGGATTTAATGGTGATGAAGATGCAAATTTTTTTCCCAAAATAAGTCCAAAAATTTTACCCAGCATTTTGGAGGCCTAAGGTTACATTGCTCATAGGCCTTACCTAAGCTAGAAGAGTGTTTTGATATAGAAGTAATCTAAAGCTTTGTATATAACCCAATAATGAATCATGTAAACTATTTTTATAAAATATTGAATAACCAAAAATAATCAATAAATTCACGTAAAAATTCATGGCGTTTAGCAGCATAGGATAGGGGTAAAACAGGTATGGAGTCAGAAGAATTATGGGTGTCTCGTAAGCTAATTCAACTTGTTTACCGTCAACCACCAGTAATAATTTTTTTACTCACTTCAGACACTTCATGATATTAAACCCAGTTGAGGTTGTTGCATTAGTATATGCTTTGAGCCTCAGGGGTCGTGCCATATTATTTAAATATGGGGAGCACTAAAACCGTTAGGATTATACAGTGCATGGGGGCGGAGGGATGGAAGGCATTCAGGCTCAATTCAGGGAACTGGAGCACAGACAATTCCCTTAGATCAAGGAGCCCCTCACCAGCATCAAGGAACCTCCCTTGAGGGGGGGTCCTTGCCATCGTCATAGTACGTACTGTGACTTTAAGTCAGGGTCTGTACCTTTGTACACGGCTTTGGGTTCAGGGTTCCCTGCTGTAGTACTTGGCTTTGAGCTCAGGCCATCCATAGTAAACTACTTGTGTGAGCTCAGCTCACTCAGATTAGGCTGGGAGTGGTAAATTTTGGGCCTACATATATTAAGGGAATGGGTCTGTGTGGTAAGTGCACCCTGTATTAAAAAAAATCCTCCCTATCGCAGTGCATGATGGGAAAAAATAAAATTGACACCATTTGTATGGTTTAAAATAGTGACTTTTCAGTGTTTTACAGTGTTTATGGGTTTTGATTGGCCATTTCTTGGTCTTTCATTGATAGTAATTGGAGACTATTACTGAAATAGAGATGATTTTACATATTGGTTTCCATGTCTGGAAGTTGCTTGAAATTGAGCTCAAAGTGGTGGAAACATTCGATTCTTGCCCAATTCCTAAGGGGGACGGGTTAGGCTCCCTTCAACCCCCTAGTTGTCTTATGGGTTTTTACTAGGTATGATTCAATCATTGGGATGCTGTAATCCATGTCCATTGACCCAAATCTATCCTGCTTTATTGTCATATCCCAAGAAAGAGTAAATCTTTTGGTTTTTTTTTTTTTTTTGTGTGATAAGATTCAGAATGGAAGGGAAGTGTAATATAAAAGAGGAAAGGGTATTTGACTATTGAATTAGAGGAAATGTTTTAGTGTCAAGAATAGCTGTATTTTTTATCGTATATTTTGAAAGTGGTATTTATTTATAACTTTTGTCCAAAGAATTGGCCAAATTACCAAATTCTAATCACTCGACATATGGTGATTGAATGGGACAGTTTCTTTTGCTAGTTGAATAAAATGGAAGGCATACTAGCAAAAGAACTAAAGATTTGGTTAAACTGGAACCATAAAAACAGAATTGGCTTAAAAATAGGCTCAAAGTGGGCAAATTCACTGATATGTAAATGAGACAGAGACGCTAACTTGGCAACTGGATAAATTCTGTAAGTTTTCCATTAAATTTTGTACTATTTGATGTCATTACCTTCATTAAAAAAAATTCTCTACAATTTCAGATTTTTTTTATTTGAAGAGACTGAGAGCAATATTGAATTTGGGATCTGGACAGTGAAAGGGTTTAGTGATGAAAATGGACACTGCCATGAACTATTATGAGAAACAGTAATTTATAAATTACGGTAAAGATCAATAAGAATCCTTCTCATATATAAGAATCTGTGAATCTAGAGTGGATACTTTATACTTATACATTATCTCCAGTTTTCTCCCCTCTTCAAAGGGGGGCCTCCTTGGCGTGGTGGAAGAGGCTCTTGGTCTGAGGAATTAGCCCTGTCGGATCTTCTTCCTCAGACCGATAACCAAATTACCCCCCATTCTCCCCTCCCCTATCCCTTCCTCCCTTGTTCCATTCCTCCTCTCCCTCTATCACCCTCCCTTTTGCCTTCCTTTTTTGCCTTTGGGATTTCTCCCACAGGCTCGCAGTTCCCCTAGGTGGGGGAAAGGACACCGGGGTCCTTTTCCCTTCCGTTGAGGTCTTGGCGGGGTGGGTAGTTGCATGGAATCTGGTTGCCGGGGGTTTGCCCCGACCCCTCCCCGGTACCGGAGTGCTTTGGGTGTCTTTGGGCGACGGGTGATCTCTGGAAGCATTTTGGGATTGGGGGGTGGGGGCCCAAAAGGAGGTATGTTTTGTGGGGATATGGGGCCCGCCTTTTTTTGTCCAGGGGGTAGTGGCAGATGGAGGTTGCTATCCCGGATTGTGGTTTCCGGGCTGAAGGGTTGGGTATGGCACGGGTTCCATGTGATCTGTGTATGCGGGGCTGAGGTCCCTTGGGCGCGGAGGAAGATTTCCCGGGCCCTTTATTCCTCCTGGGAATATTCCCCCCCGCTCCCCCTTTTTTTATTTTTTTTTTATTTTATTTTCTTTTTTTTTCTTTTTTTTTTCTTAAAAACAAAGCAAAGGAGTAACCTAACCATGGCACCCCTGTCCATAAACCCATCCCCCCGGGGCCCCTTCTTGTTTACGCCCCCCCTTTCTGCCCCCTGCCGGGGTTTTTGACCTCTTGGACCCCCTGATCCCCCTGTACCTCTTGCGGGTTTTGTTTTTCCCTCACCCGCTTCAGATATGGGGTTTTCAACTGCCTTTTCGTTTGTCTGAACTCCGTCTCCTTTGATAGCTTCCGGTTTCCCCTCTACGGTCGGAATTTTCGAATCGCCGCCCATTTCACCCCGGACCAATCGGTCTACTCCAAAAAGCAAGTCAATCCCCTGTTGTGCCCTTGTTCCCTTTCCCATTCTACTGGGAAAAGGACCGAACGTCAAGCACCCCCTTCCCCACGCTCATTTTCGGACCACAAAATGGACTAAAATTCTTTTTTTAAGACCGATTTTTCTTTGCCTACTTTCTGACCATAGATTGGAAAGGCTCCTGCGTCATGTCGGTGGGAAAATTTTTCTTTCATGCTTAAAGGGGGTTATGCGCATCCACGGTCCAAAATGTACCAAGGGTCATGATCTTTCCCCTTTCGAATATCGTATCTCCTTCATATTAAAAAAACATCTCCTCTCAATTTTGTAGTGGTATGTCATTCTCCCCCTACCATAGCCCAACAAAATTTTCCCAGTCATGTGCAATGCATTTTTGAAAAGTGGAATCCAGGATCTCCAACCCTCAAGTAGAACTTTGCCCTTCCGCCGGGGGCGGGACGTTCCCTTTTTGCAATGGGGTCTTTTTAAAACTTTTGACGCCGAGAACCCCCGTCCTCTGTATATGTCGCGGAAATCGGTTACAAGTTCGAAAGGTGATACCTCCCCGCAACAATGTAGAAATTGCTGGCGTTTTGGTCCCCCAGCAAAAATTTGCGTCTAGGGCCAAAATCCCCGTCTGTGGTGCGACGCCCATTCTAATAATTTGCGCCCAACCCCATCTTCCCTTTTTTGAAATAAAGCTCCCCCTTGTACTCCGCCGTTGCGGGTCTACTTAAATGAACGGAAATCCGTTGCCTCAAAGAGGCAGAAGGTCCCCCTTATGCTAGGGCAGTTACTCATCCCCGCCTCCAAGGGGGGATACCCCGTGTTTTTATTCTGTTTTTAAAAACACCCACTTCGGGGTTCCATCTTCTGCAGCCCCCCTTTTTTGTTACCCCCCCCATAGCCCTAGGGAATCAACCCTTTTGCTGCCCTTGGCTCTGACGTCCGACAAACTCGCGTTCTCCATCTTCGGCCTTCCTCCAAGCCCAGTATCGACAAGCCCTCGTACAAACCCCTAATCCAATCGCCCCTCTTCGAAGCCCAAAAAATCCAATTGCTCAAATCTTTTTTCCCCCCTTTCCCTTCCCCTTTTCCCCCTCCAACTTTACCTTTCCGTCTCTGTCCCTAGTTTTTCCCCTCTCTCTGGCTCTTTAAAAGGTGGGATTCACCCCCCCCTCGTACTATGCTTCCCCCCGTCCCCCCCCAAGTTTTCCTCTTCCCCCACCCCCCAGGTTTCTGCCTCTTCTGTCCCCCCCCCACACTTCTTTCCAGTCCTTGCACTCCCCCCCCCCCTTACTTTGGTACAGTCCATTACTACCCCAATTTTACTCCCCCTCCTTTCTATCCCAATATGGTCTCTCTACATCTTTGAATTCAGAAACCTTGAACCCTTTTAGAATATATTGAGAGACTAAAACCTTCAATGGACACTGTTTCATTTCCCTTTTCCCCTTCTTTCCCCTCTCCTCCATCTTCACAACCCCATTCTTTGAAACGCCCCTTTCCCTTCGCTACTTGAAATCTTCCAATCCACCCACTTTTGACTTTTCAAACCCCCTCTATCCGTAGGTCCCTTTACCTACGATTCCTGGTATTTTCTTCTCGCAATAGGGCCCTTTTACGGGGAAATTTCCGCAGCTCGGGGGAAATTCGGGGTGGGTTCAGATGTTGCTTTCCAGGTTTTCCCTGGGTGTTTGCTTACAAAAACCCAAAAAATTACACTGGGCTTTTTTCCCAAACCTATTGGGCTATAATTTATTGTTTCTTCGGTCCTTTCTCAGAGGGCCCTTTTAATGAAGTCCCCTTCTTTACGCAATGATATTCCGTCTGTCAACTATTTGTCCTACCCGCTGCATTACACTGCAGCCCGTATCACTTGAATAGTGGTTTAAAATAGTTCTTTATATCTCTCCCCTTCCGGGCTTTTTCTACCCCAACTTTGCCTTTCTTGTTTCATCCTTACCCCCCCCTTCTGTTACTTGGTGTTTTTTATGCCCCATTTCCTCTGGGGGGGGGGTTCATTGTGACCCCGTGGTTTCCAGTTGGAGGCTTTTCTCCCCCTCTCCCCCCCTCCATGTTTTAATAAGGGTACTCCCCCATTTGAACCTGTATATACTCTCTCTTGCATGATCTATCAGTCTGCTCTTCCCCCACGCACTGACTTCCCTGGTCTGTTCTAGACTTACATGAAGCGATCTTTTCCCGTCATTTTACTTCCCCTTCCCTATTCACCACCTTTCCGTGCCCCGTGGCATTTTTATCGGGAAAATTTGGGATCTTTTCACACTCACTGCTTTAGTGGGTTCCTTTTCATCCTCCATTGATGAGCCCCTAAATCTTTCGACGTCAGTTTATATGCAGTTCCATTCTTACCCCAAACCCAGGCAGGCTTTTCGAAGTGGTGCTTGGGGGTTTTCTCCTTTGGCTTGTGAGTACGTTTAAAAAGTGCTGCAGGGGGCAGGTACGGTCATAAAACGCTGAGGTTCTTGATTTTAAAAGAAGCGTGTGATGCTCGCCGTGTATCCGTTTTAAGTAAAGCCTTGTTGGGGAGACTATGTTTCCCCCATACCTTGTTTTTTGAGTGCAGATGGAAAAAAAGTGAGGAAAATTGAGTGGTAAATACCTTTCCCGACCCGGCTTTCCCGTTTACGGGTCGCTGGTGTTTAGAGCAAACCCCCTGACGTTGCCATTTAACTTGGACACATCGGTCCGTATTTCCCCAGGGCTCCATCTATGCCCCCTCGTTTCTTTTTTCAAAATCTGCCCGAGAGTTAGTTCCCTTGGACTTTTTTTCTCGCAGGAAGAAAAAGTATAAGCCTTTTTTCCTTTAAGAACTGGAGGCAAAGCCTCAGCTTGCCGATCATCGGCCCCGTGGGGGTGACGACATTCATATTGTTTTTGTTTAAAAAATTTATCGGTCAGCCCTTGTAATCCTCTTCACCTTTATTTTTTATTTGGGCACAAGGAGTTCTTCCCCCGCTGGGAAATCTGCCATTGTTCTCCCTTTCCCCAAAACGGGTACTACGGACATGATGCCCCCCCTATCGCCCCCCTCGCTCTTTTAGTGGTTTGAAAGTGATGGAAGTCTCGTATACGCGTTTTAAGTGGTATTTAGAGGGCACACAACAGTCTCTCCGTAGTCAAATGGTTTGTAAGGGTCGTTCTACCTAGACCCCTTACTACGCTTGGTACGTATGTTTCGTAATGCCCTTTGCAAATAATCACTGGTTTTGCCATATTTTTTGACCTTGAGAAAGGCATATGAACAACTTGGGGTATAGTATTTTGGCCCCGGCCCCTTCCTTTGGCCCCCCGGGCAATTACCATCCTTCCTTAGAACTTTTTAACTGCAGACATTTTTGTGTTCGGTCAATAATGTTCTTTCCCGGGGCTTCATCCAAGTGAAAGGTGTCCCTCAGGGATGTGTTCTAAACACAAAACTTTTTTCCTTGTATAAATGATTTTGGCCCCTTTTTTTTCCCCCCAATATTTGGGATCACTCTTGTTGATGACTTCGCTATTTCTTGTGCAGGCGTGATGTCATCTTATTGCAGTTTCTCTCCGCATGCGGTCGCCGTGTTTTTACTTGGGCACCCCGCATGGGTTTTAAATTTTAAGTACCAAAAAATCACCAAATTACTTTCATGCGCTCTGTTTCCCGATCATCCTTTGTTTCTCTTGGTCCGTTACCCGAAAGTGATACAGTCAGGTTTCTAGGCCTTTCTTTGACCCTCGGGTTTTCTGGAAACCTACTTACCCCTTTAAGGAAACTTGTCACAGCCGGCTAAAACCCTTTTTAAAACCTTGCTCATCTTTCCTGGGGAGTGACGTCGAACTCGCTTCGCTACATTCGCCTGTTTTATCGAAACTTGATTATGGTGACCGATTTATTCCCCGGCCCTTTCCCGCTCTCTCTTAGCCTTAACTCTGTCCATCCCAAGGGTTTCGTTTGGCCTTGGTGCTTTTGCTTTCCCCTGTTGAGAGCCCCTTTTAAAAAGGAATGTTCCACCCTTTTCTGCGCCGTAGCCCCTTGCCTTCGTATATGTACGCCCCCGATCTACACAATCCCTTTCCCTTTTTGAATGGCCGTATTAGTAGACATTCTTTTTTCGTTCGCCGCCCCTTTTGCTCCCTCCCCTTTTTCTTGCCCCATTCATTTGTCTTCCCTTGTTCCCTTTATTGTTATGTAGCATCTCATTTTTTCCCACCCCCCCGGGGAATTCCCGTGTTGGGTCTGTTCTTTCCACTCCTTTCTCGAAAAACTCAATGCACGGGGGGCTTCCCGTCTCTTTTTCTTGATCACTTCACTCCCCCTTCCATGCCACCCTGTGTACACAGGGCTCTAAGTCTTCGCGGCGCGGAAATTTGCAGCGTGTTTTCCGGACAGGTCGTGCGGGGGGCATTTTCATCTTTGCTACATTTTTACGCGAAAATGTATGCCATTCTTTCAGCATTATTCGTATTGATCTGTGCCTGTGTCTCATTTGTAGTAGTTCAGATCCCCTTTGGTCTACGGGTATACGAAAATTTTATACATCTCATCCCTGTTTTCCGTATCCACTTTGGCTATGCCCTATCTCTACCAAAAATAAAGATATTGTTTTTTGTTGGGTCCCTGGTCATGTCGACGACAGGGCAATGAAAAAGGCAGACATGCTGCGCGGTCAGCGTACATGACCTACTGATTTCCATGAGGTCTTCCATTTTTGGACTATTTTTCGCAATAGTCCCCCCTTGCACCCGTTTGGGAAAAACGTTGGTCAACTCTGCTCGGTAACAAACTTCATTCTATTTAAAAAGAGATTGGGTTTGGGCCCTCTTTTTGTCACAGTGCGGGTTGGGAGACCCTCTCTCCCGCCTTCGCATTGGCCAAACCCCGTTTTCTCTGGGTATTCATGGGAGGGCCCCCGTTCTCTCTGTGAGCAGTTCGTTCCAGTTCGATTGCAAAATTTGTTAGACGCCCTTTTCTATCAACGAGCACGCGATTTACCTCCAAGTTGTCTTCGTTTACTACTTCTCTTTACCTTCCCCTTTTTGCTGAGGACCCTTTAATCCTGCTCTCTCATTGACTTTTTGACAACAATGATTTTCCACAAACTCTGATGATACTTTTGCCTCCCCTCGCCCTTTCTAGTTCGTCTCTTTCTGCCCCTTTTCCCTTTCCCATCCCCTACCCCCCCTGTTATCCATAACCTATTACTATCCATTCCCTTTTGCCACCCGATGCCCTCGCTTCCTTTGCCCTGCAGGCTATTGTCCTTGTGGGTTAGCGTTCTTTTTGATTTATAATAATAATAAAAATAATAATAATAATAAACCGTTTTTATATTAACATGATGATAAGGGGAAAAAAAACTGATTCTCCCCTCCCTAGAGACTTATACTCTGGGGTTGTCATTCTTTAGTAAAATTATCACCAATTTTTTCACAGGATATGAAAAAAACTGCTTGTATTAATGTGATGCAGAAAAATAGCTTTTCCCATCTGTAAAAACTAAAAGTGTACTCCATATACAGGTCTCCCCCCAAAATTCGCGAGGGTTAGGGGGGTCAAGAAACCCCGCGAATGTTGAAAAATCGCAATGTTTGGTGCCCAATTTATTTTAGGGAAATATAATACAATACGTTCCCTTTAAACCCATTGAACCCTGAACAGTCAGGACAAATGAAGAATTGTAAAATATTGTACTAGTGCCAGCCTTTTGGGAAAGGTGAGAAAAACTATAGAATTCAAGAAAGAATTCGTAGCAGAGTACCAAAGTGGAGGAGGAAGAGAGAGGGGAGAATGTGCCTTCTTCAGTGATTCTACAATATGTACGATACTAAAGCAGCACAAGTTGATAAAGTGTAGAATTGTTAATGCTACGCTTTATCGCCAGCCAGCAATAAAGTGTAGCATTAACAATGTAGCAAGTAAGTTAAGCAATTAATCGATAGAAAAAGGACAGCACGAACCTAATTCCTCCAATGTTGTTGGAGTTATATAGGGCGACTGACAACACCGCCGTCTCTAGTCTCTACTGCCGCCTCCACCACCATTATGTACGGCTTAAGCTTTCAGTGGCCCTTATACACCCAACAACAACACAGCAACACTCGTGACATACTTAATGATGTATTTTATTCATTCTAGAGTATGTCATGTTTCTGTGTTGTTAATATTGTTTATGTCATATTAGATGAATTGTGATAGATAAATAAGTCGTAGAGTTTATATTAGTGTCATATTAAAGAACTATCTTGTCCTATCTCCAAACAAACTCTGCCACTGCCACAATTCCTAACACATGTAATGACATATTTTAAATGTGATTGGGCGGCTGGGAATTCACGAATGTTCGAAGCCCATGAAAGTGGAAAACGCAAATGTTTGGGGAGACCTGTCTACTTGGTTTATGCAAGTCTGAATGAAAGTGTACCCCCTTGGGTTTATATAAGTACTGACAAGTAATTTATTATTAATGGGATTGTCCTAGTTATTCACATTATAAAATGTTTAGCAATATTTTTACTGTAATTACTTTCTCTTCCTATTAGATCTTGACTACGTGGAAAAGGTACGACAGATGATCCCGCTTCGTGATCAGAGGAGGAATGATTTGTACGAAATTAATATAAAGTAACAGACAGGTTCAGATTAGTATTTAATCAGTGAGAAAGAAAATCATCAACAGTTCTCCAGAAATTTTTAGTCTTGTTATGCTCTTGTCAGACTTCCTCTCTTAAATGTATCATCTTTAACATTAACAGATGCTGTGTATATTTTTCTGAGACTAACATTTTTAGACCCGATAGCAGTACTCAAGTTTGTGAACTTAATGCTTGGACTATTTTCATTTCTATAATAATTTTTTTTTTACACCACAAAATTATATACGTACTTAGTTATGATGCTTTGCACTGCCACTTTATTTTTTTATTTATAAAGATGACACTGTACAGCTAATTGACAGTATAATGTGATCTTTAAAGTTAAATAATGATAAACAAATTTTGCTCATGAAATGGCAGCACCACTGTAAATCTCATTTTATAAAATACACCATGTAAAATAATTTAACCATAATAAAAAAAAGTTGAAAAATGCTGTGTACCATGGCCTTCACAAGAAAATGCATTGAAAACAGTCTTAATAAATGGCAAACTCAAAAAATATTCATTTAGATAACTGCCAGGCACAACACCATTAACTCTACTGCCTGCAAGAATTAACTACCCCTCCCTTTTATTATGAAAATTGTCAAACAGCAGCAATATAAACACTACAGAACAAAAACTAATACTTTGCATTTACATTAATTTTTGCCATCTGCCCCTTGATCTTGACCCTTCAAAGCCACTTGTGCATGCTCTCGCTCGGATTGCTGAACTAATCAATGGATAACTGGTTGACCCAAATATCCTTGGTCTACTGCTGCAATGACATGGCTGAAATGTGGCAAGTTTCCATCTTTTCCATGATATTCCAGGCATTCTCAATAAGACTGAGGTCTGGATTATTCCCAGGCAATCCTCTTGATTACTTTTTTGGCCTTGGGATTGGGTGGACTTCATGAAGAATGATTATAATTAGCGACAATCATTGTAATGTTTTGGGGAAGGAAGTACAAACCCCCCACAACAAGTAACTACTAAGTAAACCCCAAACACGCTGATCATGGGTGTTAGTGGTGTGTGTGCGTGTGCGTGCGTCCGTGCGCAGGGTCATACCTGCTGGAGGAGGAGGGGTGACTCAACCTGCTTTGATGACCTTGAATGCACTAAAATGTTGATCCATCTGACCACATGACTTTTGTCACCACTCTAGTGTGCATATTTCCTGGCAAACTGCAGGCATTCCTTCTTCATACAGGGTGTGAGTAGGGGAGTTTCCATGCAGTACAATGATTTGGCAGGTGGAGGTTCTTTTGCAGGCAGTAATGGATGCATAAATCGAAGAGTTCAGGGTGCATTTCTTTGAGCTGTGATGCAGCCATAAGTGGATTTCCATATAGCTCTCTATGTAAATGTTGTGTGCTTAGATGTCCTTGGCCATCCAATGTGTTTTGTAGTGGGAATGATGTCTGGTGGGAGACCACAGGTGGCAGCAAGTAACTCCATTGCACTGGATTTTGCTCATCCATTACATTGACAGATCTCCTATCCAATATATGGACATTTTTCATCATTAATCTTTGAACGACCCATATTTATCCACTTTGCACAAAATACAGTTCCAAATCCTGGGCACATAAGGTTAGAGTAATGCAACAGAACACCTTATTTCACTACTGTATGCAGGTTCACTGAGAGGGGATACATACTTTGTCTCCTGTACTACCTCAGAGAATTGACAGATAACTCCGTAAGGATTCAGATGAAGTATAGCATCAAATATACAATATGAATCTGCACCACTTTATACTGTTTATAAATGAGGCTGCACCACCTTTATGCATTATAGCACCCCCTGCTACAAGGCCAAAAGAGTAACCAAGTGACCTGCTGAGAAAAATATTGAGGTTTTAGAGCAACCAGGAAATAGTCCAGATTTCAATCCTATTGAGAATGCCTGATTATTATATGAGGATGCCTGAAATATCATGAAAAAGGAGATGGAATCCTGCCACATTTCATCCATGTTGTGCCAGCAGCAGATTAATGATATTTGGGTCAACCAGTAATCTATTGATTACTTCAGGAATCTGAGTGAAACCATGCACAAACATCTTCAAATGATCAAGGCCAAGGGGAAGACAAAATATTAATTTAAGCACCAAGTACTAGTTTTTGTTCTCTAATGTTTACATTATTTTTTAAAGATTTTTGTAATAAAGGGAAGGTCCAGATTATTTTTGAAGGCACTGTACAATATCTGGAAACAAAGCAGTAATAACCACATATACAGGATAAATTATAAATAATGAAGGAAGGTAAATTCCCAGGCCTTCGCCTGATTAACTGAAATTTAACATGCACACAAAATGCATCTTAAAATTATAAAATATGAGGATCTTCTTTAAAAGATTGACTGTCTTTCCCCAGGCTTCACTAGCACTAATATCTCAAAGGTATGTGCTTAGAGATCAAGAGCAGCATACTTTCTATAAGTCATGGACTGGGCCATAGGGGGCATTGACCCCCAGAACACCCTCCAGGTATACACAAAGAATCTCACATTCTAAATTTAGACAACTCTGTACAAACAACTAAGCATACTGAACATCCAGACCATTCATACATACTATTGTATATAGACTCTACAGTAATATAGAGCACAGGCACAACATGAAGGATAAATCTCTGATATCTCACCTGTATGTTAATCTAAATCAAGGTAGAACATGTGATTTACTTGTTTCCAGTGTCTACTTCAGGCCAGGTTTCCCTGTTGACCATAAGATCAACCAGGCTGTTTGTGCTGTCATCCCACAGATTCATTCAGGCTGTGCTAGCAGCCTGCAAGCTCAGCCACCACAAACAGCTCAACCAACACTTGTAGAAGCTGTCCAGCTCTCCTCATGAAAACTTCTTACACTCATTCTGGTAGCATTTCTGACATTTGCTGCTAAGTTGATGAGTCTTAGGCCATGGATGTTGACAGTGTTCTCTTAGTAAGTAAAAGGTTCAGAAATATGGAGTAGCCTGCCTGAAGAATGTAAAAGCTGTACTGAAATCAACTTCAGTGTAAAAAGAATCCTGCGTAAATATGATGCAAGTTCATGCAAAATTACACACAGTATTATGCAGTGTATATTTAAACCTAACTCCTATGTATCACATTTAGTATTCAGTACTAAATGACCCACCCAGGTTTAGCGGCTTGAGAGTATAATGAATAAAAGTCACAATAGTGACTGGAACAATGTACAAATAACCCACATTTTGAAGATGTTTTGATCCACTTCCTTAGATCAAGAGCCTCTCACCAGCATCAAGGCACCTCTCTCTAGAGGGGAGTGAATCTAAATGCCACTCATTTCCCCAGGTACTGTAGATCTGTGGGCTTAGCTCTACCCCATAAATGTTAACTGTTACATTAAGGGAAAGGGGACTAGACCTGTAGGGGCTCACTGGGAAATCAAAGGTATCAGATTATCCAAGGAAGGAGAGGTAGGTCCATTTCTTAGATCAAGAATTTCTCATTGGCATCTTCCTTGAGTCGTTTATCAAATGCACCTTTCAACTGATGGAAACATATTTTAAGGTACATGGTATAAAATTATCAATTTTTTACTATAGAGGACCCCTCAAGAGAGGTAGATGCCTTATGCCAGTGAAGAGCGAGAGGTGCTCAGTCACCTGTGGGCTGTGATGAGTGGAGGTGTTTGTCCTGGCAACTTCTGGCTCCATATTAGTGTTCAGAGTGAGAGTTGCTCCCTCTTGATCCAAGGAACATTACCTTCCTTAAGATCAATCCTGAATGCCTCCCAGGCACTGTATGACCCCTATGGGTTTAGTGCTTCCTTACAATTAAAATTGTGTACCATAGGAGAAGTAAATTTATAGATTGGTAGAAACAACTATTATTATTATAATCAAAAAGAAGCGCTAAGCCACAAGGGCTATACAGCGGTAGAAACAACTAATAAACCTCTTTAGTACAGAAATTGAACATGAAAAAAATAACCAAAAGAGAAGTACATACCATGTACCCCCCCCCCATTTCCATCTCTGCTTTAAACTAATGATTATTTGCCATTACCCCTTATTACCCCCTCAAAGAAGGTTCCTTGATGTTGGTGAGGGGCTCTTGATTTAGGGAATTGGATCTGTGCTCCAGTTTCCCAAATTAAGCCTGAATGCCTTCCACATCCCCCCCCCCCCAGGCGCTGTATAATCCTCTGGGTTTAGCGCTTCCCCCTTGATTATAATAATAATACCCCTTATTACATCCATGGGCAAGAGTTAAACCTGTAAGGGTCACAGCACATGTGGGAATGGGAGGTACTGAGGTTTGATCTGAGGAAGGGAAGGGTAGGTCCAACTTTTTGAGCCAAGAGCCCCTCACCAACATCAAGGAACCTTCCTCGAGGGGCTGTAGTCTATAACTTTATGGTATAGAGCATGCTGCAAATTTGTAATGACTTTTGCCAACATTTTGTATTTTATTTTATATCAGCCTCTCATAATGTATACACCTACCATCCAACTTACGACCGAGTTCGGTTCCGAGAAACCGGTCGTAAGTCGAACTTTACTACTGAATATCAACAAAACATTTTTGTAATGACTATTTTATTGTTTTATTTTGGTATTTCATGTTTTACTTTACTTTTTATGCTGTTAGTACTGTATTTTATACTGTAAGGTTTAGGATAAACACTGTGTACAACACAAATAGTTTATTTCCCAGAAATTTGGCATAAAAAAAAAAACACGGTCGTAAGTCGAGTGGTCATAAGTCGAGCAGGTCGTAAGTCGGATGGTAGGTGTATTTTGTAATATACCTTATGATGTCCATGTCCTATTAACAATGTGTTTGACCAGTGATGCATGCTCTTGTAACAACTTTAATAATTTTGATAACTATTCTTATTACTGATGGAATTTATAAACTGTAGTTTATGTACAGTAGTACACATGTATTTTTAAATAAACCAAAAATTGTCGTATAGTTTTCCTTAATTTATTGTGATATACAACTGAGATATTCTGGGAAGTGCTAAACCATATGTATTATCCAGCACTATACTGGGAAGACAAGTAGTAGCAGAGGTCACAGTTGATGCAGCAAATTGGTATTTATAAAATCATAGGAAGCCCTAAATTAAGCTGGAACCATAAGAGAAAGGGAACTGTTGAGCATATTATAGCTACGACCAATGTGCAGGCATGTGAATACTGATTCTTGCATCTGGCAGCAATGGATGAAAAACAGCCAGAATCTCAAATGAAGTTAAATGTGAAACCACTTATTGGTTGCTTCGTGAGAACCACTGATACCACTGATCTGTAAGTAGAGGTGGTGCTGGAAAGGGGCTAAAAAAGCATATTTTTAGGATACATTAAAAAGTTTTGACTCCTCACCCCTTAAGGAAGATTCTTGGATGTTGACGAGGACCTCTTGATCCAAGGATTGGACTTGTCCTCTCCTTCCTTGGA